GCAGGGGGCAGAAGTCCTGGAGGCAGTGGGAGGGAGGTTGTTGGTAAGTGATATCTAGTCGGTTCCGACTCATAGAGACCCTGCATTGGGTTTCCGAGGAGTGGCTGGTGGGTTTGAACCTCCAACCTTGTGGTTTGTAGTTCAGTGCTTATCCTATAGCACCACACAAGGACTCTGGGAGGGAGGTTAGCAGTTGTCAAAGGGTCACTCAAAGCCCGAGTAGTTGCCCAATGGAAACTTCAATGTCTTTAAGAAATTCCCTCTCTCTTACAGTTCCTGGTCTCTTCCTCCCCTCCAGGAACCTTCCTAAATTGTCTGTATTTGGATCTAATCAGTTTCTTTCTCTGTAGCGTCTGGGGTACAGAGATGATGCCTGGATGAGAGAGTATTTTGAGGGCTCCCCTTGCACTCCGGAGAGGGAAGAACTGCCGAGCAATGGGACCTCTGGACCAGAACCAGAGCTTGTTGAGGAAGAGCTGTCTGAAGGCCCCTGGTTCTCTATTAGAGGGAAGAAGTTCAGACAGTGGTGGGTGGCATGAGCCCTCCCTGCCTCTCTCTTGTAAGATGAGAAGTCAGAGTGGAGAGGGAGGGGATACAAGAGGAGGGGTGGGGGCAACACAGAGGCTGGGGCCGGCCTGGACATGCCAGGGAGAGAACCTGCATCCCACCAGCTGGAAGTTCCGGAATGGGCACAAAGCCTATCCAAGATCAGCCCACGCTCTGTCTCAGTTGTAAGGCCCACTTTCTTCCAGGGTCACAGGAATGGAAGGTGCAGTACTCTGAGCGGATGGCAGAGGGCAATGTATGTACAAAATAGAGATACCTAGGCGTCTTCAGGCTTGGACATGAGCTGATGACTGCATAGGAGTGTGGGATCATAACTAGAAACTGTGTCCTCTGCCCCTCACGTTGGCCCCTGGGCCAGATCTCAGGGCACAGTCCTGCTGCTAACCTGTGCCCTCAGTCATAAGCCAGTGCCCACAACCACACCTTAACAGCAATCCTTATATTTATCATAACAAAACAGTTGTCCTAGAGTTGACTTCAGCTCATGGAATCCCATGTGCATCAGAGCCGAACTGTGCTCCATAGGGTTAGCAACAGCTGAGTTTTGGGAAGTAGATTGCCAAGGTCTTTCTTCTGTGGCATCTCTGAGTGGACTTGAACTGCTCGCCTCTCAGTTAGCAGCCAAGCAGTTTAACCATTTGCACCCCAAGGTGCAACAGCTGTCCTGGTGTGGCACTGTGGTTTGAATCACAAAGTCAGTGGTTCAAACTCACCAGCTACTCTTTGGAAACCCTATACAGGGTTGCTATGGGTCAGAACTGACTTGACAACACTTAACAACACAATTGGTTGCAAACTGCATTCCAGACACAATGCTAAGTATTTTATTTCCATTCTTTCTTTCATTAAAAGTTTCAGTTCTCCTCTAAGGTGAGCACTTTGTGAGGTGATAAAGTGTCATTAAGGAGCTCTGGTAGCGTAATGATTACAAATCGGGCTGCAAGCTGCAAGGTCAGCAGTTCGAAACTACCAGCTGTTCTGCGGGAGAAAGATGAGGCTTTCTGCTCCTGTAAAGATTTACAGCCTCGGAAACCCTGTACAGGGTCGCTATGAGTCAGAACCAATTTCACAACACATAACCAACCATCCAAAGTGTCATTAACTGTGAACTGAAACTCTGGAACCAAACCAGGGTCCCACTCTCAATTCTACCATTTATTATGTGACATTAGGTGGCCTCATGAATGTAAAGGATATAATAATAGCATCACCTAACAATAACAATGACACTATTCAGTTGTGGAGAGTTGAGTTGCCAGACAAAGTGTTTGGAAGAGCTTGCACCTGCCATATAGAAATAGCTCAGTTAATGCCGTTGTGACTTGAAGCTATCACCAAAAACTAAACCCAAGTAGATTCTAATTCCTAGCGACCCTGTAGGACAGGACAGAACTACCACATAGGGTTTCTAAGGTGTGGCGCTGTGGGCTAAGACGGCAGACTGCAAAGTCAATTGAGCTGCAAGATCAGTGATTCAAGCTCACCAGCTGCTCCTTGGAAAGCCTATACAGGGACGCTATGGGCTGGAATTGACTCAATGGCACTTAACAACAACAAATCTTCACAAAGACTGACAATGATGTCTTTCTCCCCTCAAAGCAGCTGGTGGGTTCGAAATGCCAACCTTTCATGTTAGCAGTCAAGGACTTAATCACTTTACCACCAGAACTCTTTTGCAGTTGGAAGAGCCAGGACTTAAAGTTATATGACTCAGTTCTGGTGTGGTGCCGTGGGATAAAGCACTAGACCACAAGGTCGGTTTGAACTGTAAAGTCAGTGGTTCAGACTCACCAGCCGCTCAGAAACCCTACACAGGGTCACTATGAGTACTGACTCAAGGACACATAACAACAACAACAACATATGATGACCCAGCTAGTAGACTAGACTCAGAAGATGATCCTTTGCTTGAGACAGTTCTGACTTGTTGTCTTAGGGTCTAGTTTAGCATTTGTCAAGAAGAAAAGTCTCCCTATTTAGACAATAAATTATGATATAAACAACATACATGTGAATGCATATAAAATTCATTAGCATGAATGTATTTCATCATTTGCTTGTTATTATATATATTCCTGCAGCAAATGTGAACAGAGTACCTGCTGTGACAAGGGGACAAGAAGGGTCAGGGTGAGGAACAGATACATGAGCTGCTAACATGACTCCAGGATGAAATGAAAGCATCAACTGTCACGTTGAGTTGTCAACGGTGCTGCACGTGTTGACCTTGCTATTCACCAGCGCTGGACCTTGGGAAGATCGCAACCACCTGGGCCTTAGGTTGCTCATCCATAAAATGGACAATGACAGTAATGAACCAAATGGCTAAAATGTTGCCTATCATTTAATGCTTGATGACTTGATTGATTCCACCTGGTGGGACCAGGAAAAGCAAGAACATGGCTGACATGCTGCACCAGGAAGGATGAGCAGGCTTTCAGTCAGAGGGAATGGGCACCTGCAGTTGAGATTTGCAAAGTACATGGGTGTGAAAGTTCATGGCAAACTTGGAGAAAGGTTGGCACATAAGAATAGGGAATGTGATGTGGAAGGAGAAGGGTTCCCAAGCACCCTGAATGCCACTCCCAAATGAGGCTCACACTTGTAACATGCCATGGGTCCTGCAACACAAATCTTGCTCCAATTGGCTATGCTAACCAACCCTGAAAGAGCAAACACCCCTGCAGAAACACACCCGCATATAAGAGCATCTTTGCATTTCCCTGGTCTCTTACTCACTTCATTTTTCTTAGTAGCAATGATCACTGCCTGACACTATATATAATGAGGGGGGGCTTCAAAAAGCCCAGGGGAAAATGAAATCGAAAGACAATTGAATTTTTCCAAAAACTTTTTGAAGCCCCCTTGTGTTTGTTTCTGTATTAAGTCTTTTTTTATATTCTGCCCCCTAGAATGTAAGCTCTCTGAGGGAAAGATCTGATCCTGTTTCATTTATCCTGGTTTCTCCCCAATGCCTGACACAGTTGGTTCTCACTAAAAATATGTTTCAATGATGGCTATGAAATACAAAAAGTGGTGGGAAAAAATGGAACTAAAAGATATTAGAACCTTTCCATGAACTTTTTTTGAAGCCCCCTGTATACATACAAATGCAGCCATAGCAGATATACATATAAACCTTAGACTTTAGGATGGAAAAGAAATTGGTTGGAAGACATGGAAAGCATGGTGGTTATAGGGGAGTAGGATTGGGAAGAAAGGTTAGCAGAAAGTTAAAAAAGAAAAAACCATTCCAGCAATAATAGGTAGTTAGTAAACTGTGGGTGCTTTTGAGAGCCTGAGCTATATGTTGTTCTTAAGTGTCACTGAGTTAGTTCCAACTCATAGCAACCCTGTCTAGGGTTTCCCAGGTGCAGCTGGAGGGATTTGAACCAATAATGTTACAGTTAGCAGTCCAGGGCTTATCCTACAGTACCACATCTCAGTGAATTCTGATGTCTGACAGTCCTGATGTTTCCTGCTCATAGCTGTGTACCTCTATATAATGGAGGTAAGATGCCCACCTCACAGGGTTGTTGTGTGGGACCAAGGTCACTGTGTATGTGTTGGGGACCAAAAGGCTTACAGGCCTCACTGAGCTTTAAGGCTGGGTCTAACCAGACAGTGTCTGCTTATCAACACAGCAGGGAAGGTAGCTTTCCCAAGGTCAACTGATTTACAGAGCTTTCCCAGGGTCGCCTGATTCACAGTAAAGGACAGACTTGTAACTATGCAAAACAGCAATGACTTGCAGAACCACCCTATATATACTCTGAGATTGGAAATAAACTTTGTCACTAGCAATCAGCTGTGTCCCTTGCCTGTTCGTTAATCCTCGCTTCTCCTTCGGGAAACCTACGCAGTGGTCCGAGCAGGCCTCGGATCCCAATAGTATGGGAAGCATCCAGCCTGTCTGGCAGCAGCATCATTAAGGAGACTCAACTGTAGGCTGAGATCAGCTATCAATCAGTGCCCACCTCGCCAGAACAAGACAACAAAGATCCACGTCCAGTCCTGAGGGCAGCATCAGTCAGAGGAAAAGTTAGGCAGGACAATGCAGAGGTCAACAACTGGATAACAGATTATTCCACACTGACAAGCAAATGGGTTGATCATTTATTGAAGGGGAAGCAGAAAACTGGACATGATCCAAATCACAAAATAGACCCCTTGACAGTGAAGGCCCAAGAAAGACAGGGGAGGTGGAGGGACCGGCACCTAGTTATGTGTATTCTCTCTGAGTATGTGTGGAGCAGTGACCCAGTGAAGGGGACTAAGAAGGAGTGGCCAGTCTACGACTGGACTGCCTCCATAGGAATGTTGCTCCACTGAGGACAGCAGAGAAAGGGTTGGGACTGAAATTGGTAGGAGAGACACTTGTTGGCTGGATACGGAACACCAGAAAGGAAAAGGAGGTGCAATGTCGGTTCTGAAGCCTTCTGCTGCCCTTCATCTGGAGGCCTTTTTTGTTCCACAGCTGCTGCCCGAGGTTTTAACAAGGGGATCCTTGAATTCGCTGCCACAGCTGCCTTTGGTTTTGACGTCGGTGGCTGCAGGTTTGTAGCTGTAACTGCTCGAGGAGCCAAAACCCAGGCTGAAGCCTGCCCCACCTGCCCCGGCGTTGGTGCTGCTGATGACAGCTGGAGTTGGTGAGAGAAGACCCCAGCCCCAGTCAGCTCTGCACCCTGCTCCAGAGCCCTTCCTGCCACTTCCTCAGTTCTCTGCCCTGAGAGGGCTTTGTGTGGAGACAGGTTTCTGTGTTACATATTTTTAGTTTACTCGATGATGTATACTGGTACTGACCTGATGTAACTCCACTTTTCATATAATTAGCCTTTTCTGTATCAGCCATGGAAGTCTAAGAATGCCAGACTTCAAGCTTGTAGCAGACAGGGCTCTATCCATGAACTTTCCCATGGGTAGGACCAAATGAAGAAAAGCACATCATTGAGGCCTGCTGCTGCTAGAGAAAGAGGCTGCTGGGAGAATCCCTGCCTCTTAGTAATTCAGTAGGAATGCCTATGCTCCTTCTTGCTTTCTTATCTAGAGAAGCTAGTTTCAGCTCTTTTTCCGTCTTTTATCTTTTGGTCTTTCATACCGCCCTCAATCCCTCTTACTGTACTCTAAGACCTTTCATTTAATCATGATTTCAGTAGAGGTGAAGATAGCCACTAAATTCATCCTTACAATGGATTATACACACGATTGAATTTTGCTTGATCTTTCCATAGGTTGTACTTTTATATTTTCATGATATCATTATTTTTCTCCATTTCACTGCTTCCCATGATTACTGGAGTTAACTCCTACAATGTGCTCCTAAATCTTCCCTGAACCCTCTGTGCTATTCTGGATTCTCTTTTGTGTCATGGAATTAGTGGGACTCAGATATCTGTTAAGGGACTCGTGGCAGGACCAAGTCCTGCAGATACTTACAGATGCTCACAGAATTTGGATATTCACCAGACATCCTGCAAAGGAAAACAAAAAAAATAGATAAATCCTCCATAAACAATCCCTCCAGCTATCTGTGAATTAGCTTCTCCTCTTAGAATGTTGGGGTCCTGGTGTGGTGCTGTAGGATAAGCATTGGACTACTAACCACAAGGTCAGCGGTTCAAACCCACAAGCCACTCCTCAGAAACCTTATACAGGGTCAACATGAGTTGGAACTGACTCAGTGACACTTAACAACAACAAAAACTCAGAATATGCCCAACTCCACTTCATCCCATAAATCCCAACGGGACCTTTCCAGAAAATGGGGAATGATCAGCCTGTTCCAGGTAGCAGCCTTCCATAAGAGTAGTTTTGGGATTATCTGTGTGTGGAATAATTGCGCCTCTACTTTCCTTTGGTTAGGCCATTGGTCTTAGATAGTTAAGAAGAATGAGTTCAACTCTTCTTTGGATTCCAGGCTTTGTCAGCAGTACTTTGAACTGGGATGATGCTTGGAAGCTAGCTTGCCCTTTCCCCACCAGCAAGAATTTGTCATAAAGGGCCAGGGGCACTCTGAATCTCAAACATTGATGACATTAATACTTTCTGTCTTACCACCTCTCTGATATTTTTATAACCTAGTCCTTCTTTGGAGTCCTGGTATGGCACTATGGGTTAATGTGATGGACTATAAAATCGGTTTGAATCACAAGATTGGTGGTTTAAGCTCACTATTTGCTCCTTGGAAACCCTCTACAGGGCCTCTATGAGTCAGAACCAACTCAACAACACTTAACAACAACAACTACTTCTTAGGGAAAACACTGAGGCTCTATAGGATAAGCTGCTCCATGGGAGAAAGATGAGGCTTTCTGCTCCCATAAAGATTTCTAGCCTTGGAAACCCTATAGTGTGGTTCTACACAGTCTTATACAGTTGCTTCCAGTTGGAATTGACTTTACAGCAATGGGGGGGGGGTGTTGTGGGGGGAGGTAAGTTCTTACTAACGTTAGCTTTTCCTACTTCATGGTTTTTCCATTAAGTGGTTTTCCCCAGTGAACCTGAACAGAAAGAACCAAACTGTTTGCCTTTCATCTTCTTCCTAAAGTGAAAACCGCCCCAGACAAAAGGAATCTGGCCTCTCACCTGCACTCCTCGCCCTCTAGCAGCTTGCGATAGGTGGCGATCTCCATGTCCAGGGCCAGCTTCACGCTGGTCAGCTCCTGGTACTCACGCAGCAGCCGGGCCAGCTCCTCCTTGGACTGGAGCAGGGCGCTCTCCATCTCATCCAACTTGGCCCTTGCGTCCTTCAGGGCACAATCTCCCTGCTGCTCTGCATCAGCAATGGCTGTCTCCAGGTTGGAGCACTGAGGGGCAAACAGACTCAGCCCTTACTGTCAGATCCCTGTTCTGAGATCCTGTTCACCCAACCTTCCCTCACTTGGTCCTAACTGAAGTAAATGCTTTCTGTCCCTCCTTGTTTGTCCACTTCCCCCTGAGTCCAGGCACACTTCAACATCTGAATGTGGAGAATCCTTGCCTTGGGACAGATGGGGAATGGGAACTGAGAAGGGTCCATGCCCTGTTCTTCCTTATCTATAAAACTCACTGTAAGAATCTAATGCCAACCCTGATAAACTCCCTGGTGTCTGGACTGGCTTTAGCCCCACAGTATAAAGGCTGTCTTGAGAGGTCCTGAAAATCATGGAGAAGGAAAAAAAAAAAAAAAATGGGCTCATAAAGTTTCTATTAATATAATATCTGTCAGGAAAACCTGCCATACTTAGTGTCTTGCCTTTAAAATTCCCCAAAAGGTCATGTTAAAAGGCTATAGGCTTAAAAGATCATTTGTATAATTAACAGATGTTATAATTTTACACACCCCTGCTATTAAGTAGAAATATGTAACTTGCTAGAGAAAACTACAGAGGGGCTCTGGGCTTGTATTTAAATGAAAGTTCCCAGGTAGGCTTTTTAAACCTCTGAATCTTGGGTGTGTGTTCTCCTTAATGAAGCTTTTGAATGATCGGTGGCACAAACAGTCTATGCTCAGCTACCAACCTAAAGTTTGCCAGTTCACACCTACCCAGTGGTGCCACAGAAGAAAGTCCTGGCACTCTGCTTCCATAGAGAGGACAGAGAAGAAAACCCTATGGTTTTCAGACCTAGTCTGTAACACATACAGCACATGAGTCAGAGTTGATTTGATAGCAGTGGATTGGTTTTTGGTTGAACCCTCAGATTCTCTCTCTGGAACGTCTCCTTCCTGTGGAGTCAAGTCTGCTTTACCCCAAGCAGAGCAGCTGGACCTCAGGCCAGATGGGATTCTAGACCATCATCCAGCTGGAATCCCCCTCTCTGGCCAGGCAGTCCCCAACAGTAAAGCACCACTGAGTTCCGGATGAGACAGAGGAGACTCTGAAGACCCAGTTGTTCACTCATGGGAAACCATGTCCCATTCTTACATCCGTGGCAACCTACTCATTCAGAGGGTTGGAAATAAACTCTGAATTCAGCCAAACTGTTTTCTGCTCTAATTCACTGACCAAGACTGGGGCAAACCTGCCGTTCCAAAAACTGGTTTTCTAAATGTGGTCCAAGTTGAGAGGAGGTGAAATTCTGGTTTCCTTTTTGAAACAAAGACTAATGAATTCTGGATCCGCCAAAAGCAAAAGGATTCTACAGGTGAAGCTGTGGACTTCTTCTTTGTTGGAAGGGGCCAGAAGGGCAGTAAAGGACCTTGGCTATGGGCCTTCAAAGGGAACCACAGTGAAAACTAAACCTTGTGACTGACCCCCAGTTGTTCCCCCACAAAGGAGGTCTTCCCAAACCTCCATAACTCGTGTCATTCTGCTCACATCAGTCCTTTTCTGGTAATAAGTTCACCCCACCAAGGACATGTAGTATTCCATCAATTAAACACTGAAACTGAATACTAAGGAAAGTTTCATACACCCTGCAATTGCCCTGTATTTATGCACATCTTGATTCTAAAAATATATAAATCATCATAAACTCTTAATTAATGCTGGTCTTTCTCTCACTGTTATGGTCCCAGTACACAGAAGAGAACCTCCTCTCCTCCTTCCCCTCACATGTGTGCAGGGCCTGGGGAGGAGGGCAAGGACATGGAATGACTTGACTTGCCTGGGAAGCTGTGCCTTAAATCCTCACACTGGCCTCCACAAACTTTGGGAAACTCAGATTTGCTTGTTTCTACCCTTGGCTACAACAACCACAACCTTTGGATACGAATCGGGCTGCTAACCTCAAGGTCAGCAGTTCAAAACTACCAGCTGTTCCACGTGAGAAAGGTGAGGCGTTCTGCTCCCATAAAGATTTATAGCCTCAGAAACCCTGTGCAGGGTCATTGAGTCGGAACTGACTCCATGGTACTTAACAACAACAACCCTGCTAAGAAACCACATTTATCAGATGGTAAGAGATACCTTCCACACTGAACAGGAACCAGAGTTATGGCCCCAAGAATGGGCCTTCAAAGAAGGAGTCCTCAGTGCACACTGCCCACAGCCCTGACCCCAGGGGAGGCCAGGCTTGGAGGAGAGCTCTGAAGTTAGGGTGGGAGGTGCTTCCTCCTCCACTCTTCTAAAATCCACTGCTATCCCCAATTTATCAGGTAAAACCTACAATGACTCCCTTTTACTTCTGAATCAAATTTAACTTCCAATGCCTGGCTTTGAAAACCACTCATTACCTGCCCATTCCTATTCAGTGGGTCCTCAGCTACCTGACACCCCATCCCCATTGAGGACCTTCTACATCTGGTAGGAGGGATCTCCTCACTACACAAGTTATTATATCCCCACCTCTCTTTCAGGCTTCACCTGACTCCTTCCCTTAGATACCTTCTCTCCCTTCTGCCTTGAAGCCCAAGGTAAACATCTCCTGTAAGAAGCTTCCCTCTGGGCCTCATTCACCTCTGGCTCCTCTGAATTCTCCCAGCATTGAAAGAGTAGCCATCCAAGGTATGGGATGTCTTTTTATTTCATGTGTGTGCTGACTGGGCTGACAGGAGGGGAGGGCCTGAACTCTTCTTCAATAATCTGTTGTGTACTGACTGGTGCTCAAAAACCCCTTGTTAGCTGACCTATTTCAGAGACCCACCTGCTTCTTCACATTCCCAATCTCTGAGCGGATCCTCTGAATGAGCCGGTTGATCTCTAGGATCTCAGCCTTGGTGAGTTTCAGGTCATCACCATGCTGGCCTGCTGATACCTGGAGCTCCTGGATCTGAGGTTGGATGATAAGAAAGTGACAGTTGAGAATTCACCCTTTTGTACTTTGGACACATTGTCAGAAGGAACCATCTCTGGAGAAGAACGTCATGCTTAGAAAAGTGGAGGGTCAGTGAAAAGAGGAAGACTTCCAACACGATGATTGACACAGTGGCAGCAACAATGGGCTCCAACATACCAACAGTTGTGAAGATGGCCCAGGACTGGGCAGGGTTTCCATGTGTTGTGTGGTGAATTGCAACCAAGCAACCAATAACAACAATATGAGTGTTTAGCATAAGGGTGAGGGAGGGTGAGCACATGCCATTCTCAATATCCAAACAGTGTAAGCACAGTGATGATGGAAGGAGAAAAGTTAAAAAGAAGAAAGTGATGGGAGGAAGGGAGAGAAAAGAGGCGCCCTCATTTCCTTTTGGACAGGAAGGTCCTGCTCCAGCTCAATAGGACCCTCAAGACCTCAAACATGAGAACCTCTGTGGAGTTTGAATTCTCTGTCTTCATTTTGCCTAAGATGGAAACGAGAAGGAAACCAGAGATAGGCTTACTCATGGGCACTACGTCAGAGTCTTACCAGAATTGTGACTGGTGTGGACTCAGCTGCCAACCAAGGGCCACACTGGGGAAGAGTGAAGCCCCATGTATGTCCCCAGCACATGTTGAGACTGTGACTGAGATATCTGGGCTTGGGGAGGCAACAAGGCTCAGCACCAAGACAAAGGACATCTCAGTGGAACTGACATACCCATGTGTGTGCACATACACACAGATGCACACACACAAATGGTGAGCAGGCAGCCAGCTCTCACCTTGCTCTGATACAGGGCCTCAGCCTCGGCCTTGCTCTTCAGGGCAATGTCCTCATACTGGGTGCGGACCTCAGCAAGGATGCTGTCCAGGTCTAGTTCACGGTTGTTGTCCATGGACAGGATAACAGATGTGTCACTGATGTGGGACTGGATCTGAGCAATCTCCTGGTGGAAGAGGGGGTCCAGTTAAAGAGTTCTCATGAAAAGCCTCCTCTCCTGATGCCCCCATGGAGCAAATTTCTCACGGCCACTTTTTCAGCATTTGAACGCTGCCTTCAGCAGACACTATCAGCAGCCTGCCATGCCTATGAGAATGGAGGCCTTGAACTTTCAGTTCCAAATGGTGGGACTCGTCTCTCCACCATGCATCCAGGATTACTCTTACCCTCATTTTGCACTCTCTTCCTCAGAAATCCACAGCGAGTCTTTTTCACCCACAGAAGCAAGTCTGAGCTCCCTGTGGCCCTCGGCGTCCTCTAGGGAGTCCTAGTGACCTTCACTTCTGCAGAGCTCCACATCATCCCCTGTCCTTTATGCCCCAGCACCCTAGGGCTTCTGAGTCCTCACAGCCTGGAGCACCATGCCTTTCCCCACACCCACTGAAACCTTCGCCTTCTAGGAACCTTTTCTGAAAGCTCAGGCAGAATACATCAGGCCTTCCTTGGCTCACCCTCAACTCATCAACATGTCATTTTCCTTACCAGACTGTCACCTCCTTGAGGACAACAATCACTTCTTCTCCATCATGGTATCCTCAAAAGCCTAGCTAAATGCTCAATACATTTTAGGATCTTGATGAATGTTAACTGCACTGAGTTCAATGGTCTCTCCCTCCCAACCCTGGGCCCACACAATTACCCAGACTGCAGGCAAGGGCCAGAGCCACTTGTAAGAGGAGCCATAAAAGAGAGGTCAGCGAAATCCTTACCCCTTCATAGAGGCACTTGAAGAACTTGATCTCATTTGTCAAGGAGTCCACTTTGGCCTGGAGCTCAACCTTGTTTGTGTAGGCAGCATCTACGTCCTGAGGGACATATGACAATTAGGTCACCCCAAGAGGGCCCATATGTCCTTCCTTTCTTTTCTCCTCTGCCATAAGGCACCTTGGGTTCCCTAGTAAAAGTCAGGTATAAACAGCTCTCTCCATCCTCCCACCCCATGCTTCACAGAGGAGGACTAATCCCCAAAAGAACTATCCAGCAAGCCAATGAGCAAGTCTGGTTTACATCACTGCACTGGCAGAGTGGTGAACTGCTGGGATTTTAAGCTGGCAGATGCTGAGAGCAGCATGCATCCCAGGCAAAGGACTCAGAGGCACGAGCTGGGAAGTATGAAACCCAGTTACCTCTGCTCAAAGGACTGAGTGACCTCAGTGTCCTCCCTTCTTCTTCTACAAATGTCACTGTGCCAACTGCTCAGGAAGCCCTCTGGGCCTTTTATGGCCTTTCCTTTCCCCCCTTACCTTCTTGAGCACCACAAACTCATTCTCAGCAGCTGTGCGTCTGTTAATCTCTACCTCATATCTATATGGGGCAAGAGAGAGGAGATAGCATTATCATTGGGACCATTCAATTCTGCAAATGCTCATTGAGGAGCTAATGTTCACTTCTGTGCCAAGAATCACCAGGTAGTGGTCTTCAAACTGCGGGTCCACGTCTACCTAGGGCACATAGAGCCTTCCTTCCTAAAGGGGATGTGAGCAAGGAAATTAATTTCCAGTTTCTACGTTCATCTGCAGTAGTCCCTGAAATAAACCCACCTGAGAATGAATGAACCTGTAATTAACAGCTCAAACAGGAGCTACTGTTCACTTCCTGTTTATAATTCCTCCTGCCCATGCCCCTTGGAAACCCTAGACAGGGCCACTATGAGTTGGAACCGACTCGACAGCACTTAACAACACGCCATAATAGAAAGCTGGTACTCACCATGTAGCACCTTAGTGAGGGGCATTGACCCAGGGTGCAAAGCAACTGAGGCAGCAACCAAAACACGGTTCCTTTCATGGTGATTGAAGATGTCATAACCCTCCCTTTGGGCTGCATGCTATACCTACTTCTTTTACAGAGTAAAAGTTTTAATTTTAATGAAAAGCAATTTAGCAAGTTTTTGTCTTTTCTTTTATGGACAAAAAGTCAATATGTATCTAAAAAGTCAATGCCCAATTTAACGTCAAATAGATTTTTCATCCCTATTTCTTACACATATTTCTGATCCAAGCGAATCAATGCCTTAGACAAAGGATATTGCATGGGGCTGAGATGTTCTTAATTCAGATACAGTATAGACTGAGGAAGTAAAATTATTGATTATTTTATTTAAAGAACTAATTTCTCCTATCTCCTACTACTGCCAAACAACGTTTTACAAAACACTTCTGAGACCAAACCTAATAGAGCTCTGCTATGAAATGAAGTAAAAGATGGCCTTTTCCACCCATATATTTAAGCATAAACAATTCTTTTCAGTTTTTCCTTCATCTGTATGCTATCTCAATGGTTACAAAGAAAAAACATCATTGAATGGCTAAAGCGATAGAGGTGAATGAGGCGGGTTATTTAAATGTGACTGAAATGTTTTCTGAGTTTGTCAGATTTTTCTAGTTGCACAGGATAAAACCTAGAGAGCACAGATTACATGATTTATCTCTGATTCCATGTATGTTATTCAAAAGGTACTTGAAACCTTTTTAAAACTAAATTGTATCATAAAAAAAGGAGCCCTGGTGTCACTGTAGGATAATCACTGGACTACTAAACACAATATCAGTAGTTCAAATCCATCAACTGCTCTGAGGAAGAAAAATGAGGCTGTCTACTGCCTTAAGAACTCAGCATCGGAAACCCTATACAGGATTGCTATGAGTTAGAATCAATTAAATGACAGTGGGATTTTTGTTTGTTTGTTTGGGGGTGCAGGGGCTTATATCATCAAATTGTTCTTTCTATTACAGTCCATCCTTATCTCCTGATGCCTTAGTAAATGTTAAATGCTATACATCTCCTAGTAACAAAAATAAAAGGATATGCTAGCTGCCAGGCCAATCAGCTTTGAGCAGTTTGTGTCTTTATTTTAGCAGTTTGTGTCTATATAACAAAAGAAAAAGTTTGATCGTGCTGTCTGCCAAAATTAACGACATTATCTAGTTTGTTAGCAATAGTTTTTATTATTGACTTCTAGAAACCATATGCAGAGTTCAATACACATGTACACACATTTAGAAAAAATGTATTTTCTTTATAAAAAGAAACAAACATCACACTCACTGCCACCAAGTCAGTTTTGACTTATAGTGATGCCAGAAAACAAAACAGAACTGCCCCATAGGGTTTCAGGGACTAGAATCTAGACAGTAACAGGAAGCCTCATCTTTCTACTGCAGAGTGGCTAGTGGGTTTGAACCACTGACCTTGCATTATCAGCCCAATGCTTAACCCACTGGACCACCAAGGCTCCTTATAAATATTTTTTCATAGATCTTGTTGTTGTCATAGATAGCTTAATTTTAAAAATATACTGAAATGCATAATTAAAAGTACCTTTCTCTTTTTTTTACATAGATGCTTGTGTTGTTGTTGTTAAGTTCCATTGAGTCAGTTTCTACTCACAGTGACCCTATACAGGGATTCCAAGGAGTGGCTGGTGAGCTTGAACCACCAACCTTGTGGTTCAAAACGACCTTGCAGTTCAGTGCATTAACCCACAGTGCCACATTACATTAAATCTACATCATTTTAGTCTTGAATTTTTAAAAAAGTTTATTGTACAGTATGTATTCTTTAGTTCATTGCTGTGTGGTTGTTTTTTTTTTTGAAAAAACAGTCTCCAAAATGCCTATTCATATTTTTATTAGAAATAAGGTCAGACTTTCTTCCAACAGAAAGTAAGCCTTATTTCTCTAGTTAGACAATTAAGACTGGATTTTCCAATTAAACTAGATGACAGAGATTTTCCGTAAATTGAATTAACTAAATCTGCAAGCCCAAAGTTATGAGTGTGTATGTATGTATGTATACATATAAAAAAAAAAAAAGGCATGGAATAAAAGTATATTGTTTTTAAAAGGTTATTTTTTAAAGAATTGGCAAAAATGTATTGAATACTAATATTTTTTTCCCAATCCTTTCTGATCTATTGGATTAAGCATGGTGCCTCTGAGGGGCAGAGAAGTAATATATACAATGGTCATTTGATTGGTTTTGGTAAAGGTATTTCTTTTTAATTCCTAGAACATAGGAATAGGAAATGAATTTATTGAGTAGGAAACAAATTCTTTTTGCAAGTCATGTGGTTTTCAGTGTTTCAAAAAGGCTGTAACTACATTGTCAATGATAGATTTTCAAAATGGTCTTCAATGATGAGTCATTCTGTGACATGCAATTACTCATTCTAAGAAATATTTGTTGAATTAGGGCATGTTGTAGGCATTTGGGATAAATCCATGAACAAAACAAATAATCCATTTCTTCATGGAACAGAGAAGAAAAAATAGACAATAAACATACTATAAAACAATAAATAAGTAAATTCCATAGTGTGTTATGAAATGAGGAGAAGCCCTTATAGTGAAGTGGGTTAAGTACTGGGCTGCTAACTGCAAGGCTGGTGGTTCAAATCCATCAGCTGCTGTGAAGGAGAAAGAGGAGGCTGTCTGCTCCCATACAGATTTGCAGTCTTGGAAACCTTATGGAGAAGCTGTCCATCAGGGTTGCAATGAGGCAGAATCAACTCCATGGCAGTGGATGGGTCAGAAAATGACAGGTACCATGGAGTCCTGGTGTGGTGCTGCAGGGTAATGTGCTAGACCACAAAGTCAGTTTGAACCGCAAGGTCGGCGGTTCAGATTCACCAGCCACTCCTTGGAAACCCTAGACAAAGTCGCGAGAGTCGTAACCGACTCAACGACACTTAACAACAACAACATGGAAAAAAAGATACAGCATTTAAACTGGAAAAACATTCAAAGAACTGGTGCTCTTGCAAAACTCCTTTCATTAAAATGTGTTTATATAACAAAAATTCCCAGCACTGGGACTAGAGTTGATGTTAAAACCTGTCTCTAGCAACAATCAATATCTATACATGGATACTTGACAGCATTTAACAACAACAGCATAGTATATCACAAGAAAGACACAAAAAGCTGGTATGAGGACCCACAAGTGATACAGATTAATGATATAATTAATAAAAAATCAGTAATAATAATAAATGCATTTAGTATTTATTAGCCCCTTATTATGTGCCAGGAGTCCTGGTGTGGTGCTGTAGGGTAATACATTGGACCAAAAAAATCTGTTTGAGTCTCAAGGTCAGTGGTTCAAACTCACCAGCCGTTCCTCAGAAAGCCTACACAGGTCACTATGAGTCAGAACTGACTTGATGGCACTTAACAAGAAGAACATTATGTGCCAAACTTTATACTAGTTTTGGTATACATTATTTCATTTAATCCCACCTATGAACCACCCTAGGAGGTAATATCTATCATTTCGATTTTATAAATAAGATGTATGACATTCATTTTCTTGTCTTACATTTGTCTATGGGTTCAGTTACTTTAAGAACTGTTAATACATTACTGTTGGGTCATTATCTAAAATTTTCCTCCCATTAGCTCTTTTAGGTAGTAAGACACGAAAGGTATCTAATTTCTATAAATGTTAAAATTGATGTTCGTAAAGATCAAGAGACTTATCCAAAGCCCCTCAAGTAGAGAGGAGTAATTCTGGAACACCTGGCCTTTCCTTTCTGAAAGGCCCAGAGGCAGAACCACCTCTGAATGTCTCAAACCTGGATATCTGGGCTGCAACTGGCAGCCTCCCCCTTTCCCCAGATTCTGAATGAATCTCCTCTTGGACTCCGAGTCCCTTCCTAATTCCACTCAATCTCAGTTCACATTGTACTCATTTACATTCATTGAGTTTGGAAGTATCAGAAAGTATCCCCATAATCTAGATGCTCTCTGAGGGCAGAGACCATGTCACTTCCTCCCTCAATGTCTTCATGCAGGGCTCAGAACAGGCCTCTGTTTGGGGAAAACTTTAGAATGGTTATGCATAGACAAGCTGAACATGAGACATGAGAAAGAGCTCAATTCTGTCCATCTCCACTCTCCTTGAAGTGTGGAAAAACTCACTTATCTCTAAAAAACTTGGCACCTAGAAACAAGCTTCCAAAATATCCAGTCCTCCTGAGCCTTGATTTATCCCTCCCTCATCCTTGACTCAAGTCGGAGGAAAAGTCATCTCTCATTCCAAATATGAGTACTTTCTCAATTCTCTTTAATAATGTGATTCCATGCCACAGATAATGGCTCAACAGGAAATGGCATATAAAAATTCATTTCTGCTTGGTTTTATGATTTGTTCTGGAATTGGTGGAATGCTTCATGTTGGAGAACTGCCATTCACCGGGATTTACAAAGCCTTCTAGTTTTGAGATCATTCTCTTTCCAATGCCCCTCCAATGCTTGAAGCTGCACACATCACTTCTCAAGCAATTCAGATTGACACAGGGACAGCAACAATCAATTCAAACTTAACAGTTGAGACGATGACGCAGGAGCAGACAGTGTTTCATTCTGTTGTGCTTAGTCAGACCCAACTCAACAGCATCAAAAAACAATAACAACTAACAAATTCTCTTCCTAAGTCCCATTCTGTCTGGATGTCCCTCCCTCCCCTACTGGAAAGGAAACAACAATGGTACCAGTAAAAATTTTAAGAAGGCAAAATAATTGAAACCTTGTCTGTAATCAAGACCCTCTAGTAGAATATTCTATCTCTTCACTCACCTCTGCTTGTAGTCTTCCACCAAATCCTGCATGTTCCTTAGTTCTGAGTCTAGCCTCACCCTGTCTCCTGATTGCGTCTCCAGCTGCTTCCGTAAGTTGCTGATAAAGCTCTCATAGATGGGTTCCAGGTTGTTCTTGCAGTTGTTCAGGTCCAACTGCTGCAGCAGGTTCCACTTAGTCTCCAACACTTGGTTCTGTTGCTCTAAGAACCGCACCTGAAATGCAAAGGTGGGCATAGCCTAGAACCTTCATTCTGTCGGCCTTCCAAGAGTAAAGTTGTTGTTGTTAAGTGTCATCAAGTCAGTTCCGACTCACAGCTATCTTGTATAGGTGAGTTTGAACCACCCACCTTTTGGGTAGCAGTCCAATTCTAATCCTACTGTGCCACACCAGGACTCCCAAGAGTAAAGAGAGAGCCAGAAATCAGAGGCAGTTATCCTGAGGGTGGGGAAGGAGAAGTGGGGCTAAGAAAGAGCCACAATTTATCAGAGAATATATTGGGCCAGGTGGATCTACCCAATTGGGCCTCAAATGTAAAAATTCAGATCCACTTTAAAAAAAATCAGGATGTTTGAGGTAGATTCTTTTACTATAAATGCAAGTGTTTTCAGAAAAAATAAATAAATTAGAAGCAAGGGAAAATGGTGACTGGGGAATAGCCTTGGAAATTTACTTTGGTAGTTAGGATGCTCTTCCTTATGTGTAATCTAAATTGTTCTTGGTTGGTTTGTTTTTCAAAGTGAGTTACCACACCTTTACAAAGTTCCTTCATACTTGATTAAAGATTCTACATTGTTGGATTCTTTCACTTCAGACCCTTTTCCACTCCCAGCAGCCTTCTTTTCACCTATTTCTTTAGCTTGAGTGAAAGAAAGAAACATGGTAGAGATGGGCTGGCTTATTAAGAAGGAAAAAAAATGATCCTTTTTCCTGGGACAGAGGTAATGTTCCTCCCAACCATGACATACCCCTCCAGCCACATCACTGTGTCATCTCCAGCCTCGTGATGAGGGACATGGGCTATTCCACTATGGACTGCTCTGTAATGTGGGCATATTTCTTAGCCTCCCTATGCCTTAGCTTCTTCATCAGAAAAGCAGAGTAATACTAGACTCATGGGTTGTCTGTTGAAGAATGAGAACCAGTTGGGATTGCATCAGACACTGAGTAATAGCACCAACATATTAGTTGTTGTTATTTGAATCTTTGACTCATAGCCCAGACCTTCTGGACCACTGGAACTAAGGGTAGAGTTAGCATGGTCTTCATGGGTCATATCTTCAAGTCTTCAGAGACGTTTTCTCTGTTACTAAATTTCTGAGCATCCCTACAAGCCATACATGATGCTTGCCATGCTATTCTTACGAATCTTCTTCTCTCAGCTCCATCCTTCCTTTTCTGGGCCTTCCTCTTATCTCCTTCAGTACCCTTCCTGGCTTACATCGGAACCCTGCTGCCTTCCCTTCCAAGCTCTCCCCTGCTTGTAGAGTATCATGTCCTTGTGACGCTCTCTGGTCTGTGTCCCTCTGGTGCCCTGTCTTGGATGTGTATCCTGTCTCCTTGTTTAATATCAGGAGCCCTCTGAGGGCCTGTCCCATGGATCACCTGCCTCTAGAGCAGTTCCTCCCAGGGTCTTGACAAGGAAGAAATGGTACTCTTGCTCAGTGGAAGTATTAAGCACTGTTGTAAGCCTAAACCCACTTAATCCTCATTACAGCCCACTGTGTCCATTTTACAGTGAGGAAAGGGAGCTTACCCACTGCTGATGAGTCAATTCCAACTCACAGTGACCTTACAGGACAGAAGAGAACTGCGCAACAGACTTTCGGAGGCTGTAAATCTTTATGGGAGCAGATAGCCTCATCTTGCTGCCACAGAGTAGCTGATGGGTTCTAACTGCTGAGGTTGTGGTTAACAGCCCAACATTTAACCCAGGATGCCACCAAGGAGCATTTAAGGGGTGGTTACAAGTCGGGCTGCCAACCTCAAGGTCAGCAGTTCGAAACTACCAGCGGTTTCCGCGGGAGAAAGATGAGACTTTCTGCTCCCGTAAAGATTTATAGCCTTGGAAACCCTGTGCAGGGTCACTATGAGTTGGAACTGACTCCACGGTACTTAACTACGACAACAACAACAACAACAGCTAACTAATCCCTCCAGGTTCTCACACCACTCATCAGTGGCACACCTGGGCAGCTGGGAAACACTGGAGCACCAATGGTGGGCAGGCAGCTGTTCAGGACTCACCTTGTCGATGAAGGAAGCAAACTTGTTGTTCAATGCCTTGATCTGCTCCCGCTCCTGGGCACGCACTTTCTGGATTTCCGGGTCCAGCTCCACGTTGAGGGGGGCCAGGAGACTCTTGTTGACTGTGACCTGAGGGATACCCCCAGGTGGACACACAGACGGACACGCAGGTCCCAGCCCTGTGCTGCCAAAGACTGTGCCCACGAAACCACCTACGCGGCCACTGCAGCCACCGGAGCCCTGGCTGAGCGCATAGCTGCCACCCCGACCGCTAATGGACATGCGCCGACTGCCCACCATGCTGAAGAGGCTCTTAGTGCCAAAGGCGGCCGAGCCCTTGACCCCGGCCCTGAAGGAGGCAGAGCTGCTGCTGACTCGGCCGGAGATGACAGCTGAGCAGCCGCTGAAGCCCAGGCGCTCCCCAGCAGGGTAATAGTTAAACTGGCGGCTCATGATGCACAGAGGGAGCTACTGGACGGTGCAGGGAGGCGAGGAGAGGGGCACTCCGAGGAACAGCTGGATGTTCTGCCCCTCTTGTCCCTTAAATAGCTGGAGTGCAGGACTGGGCGGGCTGGAGTCAGCCTAATTTGTAGGTCGGGCACATCTTTTAGGTAACTCATGGCCTCATGGTTCTTCATTTAGGAAATTACCACCCCCTCTCAGAGATGTTTGTCTCTGCCTCCCTGAGCACCCCATGAATCCCCTATAAAATGGCCCAGAACCCTGCATTTGGGCTGTGTCCACCCTGCATTATAATCATTTGGCTACTTTATCTCCATTGCTGCCCTCCAATTACTGGGGTTATCACTACTAAGATCTCTGGTAGAAACTTCCCGTGTGTCTGGCCCTCTCAGGATGTGCGGGTGTAAGGTGAAGAAGGAGCAAATGTCCAGTATGTTTCTTCCCCAGAAGGGCATGAACAAGGTCAGGAATGTTCCAGAGAATCATCCTTAGCCTGTCCCTTCTGCTTCCTTAGGATTCTGAGCTTCTAGAATAGCTCTGTCCAGACTGCTGAGAGCAAAGTTGCAGAGAGGAGACTCTGTCCACTGGCAGCAACTTCATGTCAGTTGGAAGAAGCTAGTCACAGTGAACTCAAGTGAGATTTATGCTCCATGGAAGCTCTGATCCCAAGTGCTGGCAAGAGTCTGAGCCAGAGAAAAAAAGTGTCTCCAGAAGATCATTTCTGGAATAAGTTGCTGTTATTAAGTGCCATCAAGCAGGTTTTGACTTGAGGAGCGGCTGGTGAGTTTGAACTACCAACCTTGCAGTTCAAACTGACCTTGTGGTATAGCACCACACCAGGACTCCATTCTGAAATAAGAGTCCATTCTGAAATTAGTTTGGAAGGAGGGGAGAAGAAGACTTGGGTAGAGGGTTTGGGAAGACTTTGGACAAGGCTTAGAAGATGGTCTTTCGTGAAGATTTTTGTTTCCTTCTTTTAATAGTAAAGAGGTTCTTTCACACAGTTTAAGGAACCTTTGATCACAACACTTGCTGCCCTGCCATTACTGATTTAGGATTGGAATTTGGTCAAGTATTTAAAACAGGAGGAGAAAAGTTGTGGAAGTCTACTCAGACGAGATGCCAGAACTTCATTGCTTATGCACCTGGAAGTATCTTTCTTTGATCTAACCTGATTTCCTCTTCTCTCAACTTAAGCTGCTCTCCTGGTTTCTCCTAGTACCCAGGCAGGTGACATTTTATCACACTTCTTTCTCAGTCTCTCTGTCCTAGGTATGTGTCCCATTTCCCCTGTCAACTTCAAAGGTCCCCCTATATTAACCCTTCCCTCCCTACTCCCTCAGGGTTCAGCACAGACCCTGGCTTAAGGGACATTCAGAATGAATGTGACACAGACTGGTGCTTAGGACACAGCTGTGCCTCATACCCTGGAGTCTGGACTCCCCTTGGGGCTTGGGGACAATTGGATGACAGCCTCTACTGAGTCAATGACAAAGCATAATAACAGCCAAGGTGTTTACCCCATGAGGACAAAGTTGTGGGGGCATTGGTAAGTGGTGGAGATGGCGCCAGCCACAGATGTGCAGATAGAGGAGGAATTTGGGGTGTCACAGATAAGGAAGAGGGTCTGCTATCTAAAAGGAAGGGTGTTGTCTAGTCCCTCTGGAGAGGAGAGGGCATTGTCAGTATGGCTGGGCGATTAGCAGGTCCTTTGAGATGTTTGAGGTCATGCTTTTCATTATTTCATGAAATTTCTCCCTCCACCCCATAATTCTAGTCAGTGTTTTTGCAAAAGCACAGGAACGTGTATTACTTCTGGTTATTGGCAATAGAAAAAGAAGAAACGTTCTTAAATTGAAACAGGAGAAACTGACATAGGATTGGTTTATAAAGGAAACTTTTGGAATCACCTTTTTTCTGGGAACTTTCTAAGAAGCTGAGACACTCATCCCTCTGGGACCAAGGTACTTCTGCCTGGGGTTAGGGAACAGGTGAGCAGACCTTTACTTATCTCCCTGTGAGGGACTGAGTGACTGGATGATTCAGGAATTCCTCATCCCCTGGGGCCTTCTTTTATTTACAGATTATGAAGAGACAGTGATACATCATGTTTCAGAGGCATCTCTGTGTGGGAGATGTGGGAAGATCAAAAGGTAAAACTGTGACTTAGGAGGAGGGGTTCTCTTTGCACCTGTCTTTGATAGTAGCTTACTGTGTCTCCTCAGGCCCTGCTGACCACCTCTGCCATTAGTTCTCAGGTTAAATAAAGCAATCCTGGGATTGGTAGAAAGGTCAGAGCTCATCGACATATAATGAATGGGACTGGTCACCTGCAGAATGAACACTCTAAAGGAGGATTTGTAAATGTGTTGCTGATTAAACTGGATCTCTTTTGCTTAAATAGGTATGTTTAGAGCACTAGTTCTTGGGAAATCAACAGAAGTCATGTACAGAAAACAAGGGGCAGGAAGGGCCCCATGGTGGGTAAAAATTAAACAGGCATCTTATTGCAGGGCTCCTTGGATTCATGAATATTCATAATACTTTCTACTTCTCCAAAGGTTGATCTAAAAGAAAAAGAAAAAAACCACACCTTCTTTTTAACCAAGTCCCTTATGGGAGCCAAGGTTTCAAGGAACTTACTTGGAGAAACATTGTACATAGTTGCCTTCATGTCACCACTTAAATTTCCAAAATATAAGCAGTGTATCCCCAAAACATAAAGAAAAATGTAAATGGGATAAGTGTAATATGCAACATGATCTTATTTATGACAATATGCCCAATCATATCATCTGCAGGGGCTCTCAAAAACATAACAGCGTAATTCCAGCACTGCTCAAGGGTGACAGAATTTTCAGCCTAGTAGCCAGAAGATTGTGCCAAAAACCATTGTTAGATGCTGTGAAGTCTGTTCTGACTCATAGCAACCCTAACAGGGTTTCTGAGGCTGTAAATCTTTGCGGGAGCAGAAAACCTCATCTTTCTCTCATGGAACAACTCATAGGCTTGAACTACCAACTTTGTGGCTCACAGTCCAGTGCTTATCTTACAAAGCCACCATGCTCCTCAGAGACCATTGTTGTTGTTAAGTGCCATCGAGTTGGTTCTGACTCATAGTGACCCTGTATAGGGATTCTGAGGAGCTGCTAGTGGATTTGAACTACCAACCTTGCTCTTAGTAGTCCAGAGCTTATTCTACAGTACCACACCAGAATTCTAATTTATTATACTAGTTTTATTAAATGTTCCATTTTCAAAATTATGTTTATGTATATATGTTTTTTATTATAAAAATTTTCATCCCCATAAAATGGAATTCTCTTTTACATATCACCATTCTTTGTCCACCCCCTCCAAAACTGGTATTATACAAACTACAAGTTACTACAAGTCCAACAAGGTCCCAATGTACCCAGGAGTAGGGAAGACAGGGGGTCATCGAAGAACAAGCTGTGCTGCTCATTACCCACACTCCAGAGCCCTCATGTGGCCTGGCAGCATGGCAAAGTCAAGCTGTTGACCACTGTCTCCTAAGCAGATTAGGAGCATTAACAAAAGCTGAGAGGAACCATTCTCTTGAGCCAGAACCACTCAGACCCTTAAGGCCACCACAGAGACCATCATGCCCAGTTTCCAGACAACCAACACTAGGCTGCCGCCATCTTGCTGCCATCAGTCCTAATCATAGACCATTAGTGTTGGTATTGTGTAGTGCTGACAATTCAGTTCCAGCTCATAGCAACCTATAGGGTTTCTGAGGAGTGGTGGGGAGGGGTGGGAGTTGAACTGCTGACCTTGAGGTTCAAACCCATCTTAAAGTCCAGTACTTATCCTCTAGCCCATACCAGAGATGATTGCTGTTGTTGTTATGTGCTGTGGAGTCGGTTCCAATTCATAGCGACCCTGCATAGGGTTTCCAAGGCTGTAAATCTTTATGGGAGCAGAAAGCCTCATCTTTCTCCCATGGAACAGCTGGTAGTTTCAAACTGCTGACCATAAGATTAGCAGTCAGATTCATAATCACTATGCTACCAGTGCTCCTCTGATTCATAACCGCTACGCTACCAGAGCTCCTAGAGATGATTGTTGTTAAGTGCCGTGGAGTCAATTGCAATCCATAGCAATCCTATATAGAGTTTTCAAGAAGCAGCTGGTGAGCTTGAACCTTGCAGTTCACATGACTTTGCTGTCTGACACATTAGCCCACAGTGCCACACCAGGATTCCAGAGATGAATAGTACTCACCAAATATCCACATTTCCCAGACTCCCTTGTGTTTCAATTGGAATTTGGGGTCATATAACTAGTGTTGGCTAATGTAAGTGGTAGTGAAATGTGTCACTTCTGGTATGAGACAATTCACAGCCAGTCTACCTCTTTCATCTCTTAACATATTGACTTTGGAGGCCATCTGCCCCATGTGGAGAAGCTACAAGGCAGAAGAAGCCCACATCCCTGAAACATCCATTGATAGACCCATGTAGACAAGCTTCCCCAGCCTTCATTGAATGGTAAGTGAACAACAAACCTTTGTTATGTTGAACTACTGAGATTTCTGGGATTAAGCAGACAGTGTGAATTATCTGAATTCAAGAATAGAAATGAGAAGGCAGCAATATTCTTTGATAATCAATGCTCTTTATTCCAAGTTCATGCTCATCAATCTTCTGGTCTCTATTAGATCTTTTCTACTTCCCTTCTCACTTAAACTTCTTGAAAGAATAGTCTATACCTAGTGTAAGGAGAGACCAGTCACTGGAGAAGGATATCATGTTTGGTAAGGTAGAGGGTCAGAGAAAAAGAGGAAAACCCCCAATGAGATGGATTGGCCAAGTGGCAGTATCGATGGACTTAAGTGTGGCAACAGTAGTGAGGTTGGCCCAGGATCCGGCTGTATTCTGTTCTGCTGTGCATAAGATCACTAGGGGTCAGTACCGACTTGATGGCACCTAACAATAACAACAAGAAGTAACAGTAATGTTGTTCCG